GGTGCTCGCTCTGTGCGGGGAGTGTCTTAGTGCCAGAGAGAAAGAAAAAAGAGCTTTGTCTAGCTTTGAGCCTCGGAGGCTAGCTTTGTCCTTCAAGCAGCTCTGATAGAAGTTAGCGTGGCTGAACATCGCTCTTTAAAAACAAAAACAAAAACAAAAACAAAAACAAAAACAAAAACAGTCTTCACACAGTTGTCTTCTTGGGTTTGGCCAGAAGGAGAACACAGTTTGGTAAGGAATAGGCTCAGATATTCAGAATGTTGACATAAAAAATCCAGTTGTCTTATTTTGTTGATCAGGTGAAAATATCAGTGGACAGAGTTTGCTAACTCACCCTGGCATTTTGGAGACAAGTTTGCATCCTGACTGATTGCTTGCAGTCACGTGTTTGGAAAATCAGATTGCCAATTTATTTGGAGAGAGAAGAAGAGTCAGTAAGTTAACCAACGAAAATGAGCTGGGTGCTAGTCTTTAATATGGTGATTGGCTAAGATGCTATCAAGTATAGTTCTGACATCCACCCTACAGTCTCCCCATTGGTGGGTCTTTTTGGTGATGAATAGTGACCTTGGACCTGTGGCCTTGGTAAGAAACAGACTGCAGACTTGCTGAAGCCCATCTGCGCTGTACAATATATCACCACATTGTATGACACTGGTTACAGCCTTAAGATGCTTCTAACCAGAGGGGTCTCTTTAGCCACATTGCTCAGCATTTACAAAGAGGCACCCAGTTGCTTGGTCAAGGCAACACAAAGATTATTCGAAATGTTTAATAACACTAGATTCTAAATGAAATGATATGCCCTGCTGGTACAATATTTAGTTAAATTGTTTTGTGTTTAGAAATGCTACAATTCATTTGCAATTTTTGAAATTCAGGTTAGGAAAGCTGTACATCTTGAAAGTGAACTATGAATATTGTTGCAGTCATGTAATAAATACATACTTTCCCCCTATCAAATTATTCAGAGGTGGTCAGGAGATTGGTGCATTATGGCATATTGGGTTAGGAGTTCGGAGGTTTGCCTACAGTCGAGGTTTGAATATATGTCTCAAAACATCCTGTTTTGCTGATTTGCCTAGAAGAATACATTATTAGTAATCTGGATAATATTGGATACTCCAAATTCAATCACTATATCACTATATCATGATTCCTCAGTTTGCTGTTCAATGTCTGAAGGCAGCTGGAGAATCTGTAGTTTGTGGGGTCGGTCATGTATACATTAATCACATTTACTTTCTGCCTGCTCTCCAATTTCAAGCAGCTCAGTGCACTGATAGCTGTTTAATGTACATCACCGCTTTATCTGTGGCTGCAAGTAAATGTAGCCTGAGCTGACAGCTCCAGCTATACAAATTGTGAACAGTTACACTGCATAATTGCATTTTGTTGCTCTACTGCTTAAAAGCTAAATAAGTTGTGGGGAAACAAAACTTCCAGTTAATATATTGTAGCTGCTGAAGGCTTGTTTTTTGGTTGCTGTTTACAGGAGATATTTTTAAGCTGTAGATTCTGCGGATGGTTGACAAACATAGCACCTGGTGGGAAACCTGTTGGGTGATGAGTCAGTGCTGTGCACAGTGGCTGAGTGTCCCAGTGCTTCATGGAGGGATCTTGCACTGAATATAGACTAGAATTAAGCACTTCCACTATGCCAGAGGTGTGATATTGTAAGTTAAAGAAAATGACCAGCTTGTTATTTTCAAAGCAGGAGTAACCCCTTATCCCTTATTGTTCATTAATCCCTTGTTATTGTTTAAAGTGGAACTGGTAAACAATTTTGTAGAAAAGGTAATGCCACCTAGCTTCCAAAGTTAGAGTGTACCTCCCCTTTACACACAAATACCTTTTGATCAACTATTTTGAAATTCTCATTGTATGAGAGGAGATATATATTCTAACTCCGCATTAAGGTTATATGAATAAAAAAAATATTTTTTGTCAGTTGCATTTCACAAGGTCATGAGAAAAGAGTACTGTATTTTAGTATTTGTTCATTGGCATCTGGGTACTCTCAATCCAGAATGCACTTTAATTTAATTTCTGTAGACTAGTCTGAAGGCATGTCTTCACTCTTAGCTGATATATTCATTTAAAGCAACAGGTGCAAGACAGTGCACACCCTAGACAGGGCAATGGTCCATCACAGGGCAGGCAGACACTCCCACACTCACACCAGGGCCAAGTATCCCAGGAGCCAATTAACATACCTCAATGTCCTTGGACTGTGGGAGGACATCCATGCAAACGCTGGTAGAACATACAAACTCTTTGCACACAGCACCCCAGGTCCAGAATTGAGCCAATTCCCCTCAACCGTGAGACAGCAAAATCATAATCATCCAGTTTTTTGCTTGATGAAGTTCTATGCTTGATTAAGCTCTAAGCTTGATAAAGTTCTATAACAGTCAGTCCATCAGATGGCCTCCTCACGTTTGTATCCCTTGCTCTGTGTGTATAGTAAGGGTACAAGAGGGAGATTTGACAGAGGTTTTTTATTTAGCCACCTGAACCGCCAGCAATTGAACCATTTCCAGTTCAAAGAGTACACCAGTGAAGGTGAAAATGACAGCGCTCTCTGAATGGTCCAGATAATAGAGCTTGTGCACACCAGCCCTCATTCTCGGCGGTCTCTAAGCTCCAGTCATGTCTTAAATGGGGCTCCTCACCAAAACCCGTCAAGCCCTCTTCACCCTAATCAGCCTCTTGCACTTTGCACCTCAGTTTCTCTCGCACTCAGTCATTGCATTGTTCAGTTCTAAATGAGTTCTATGTTCTCAAGAGAGGACCAGATTTCTTCCATTGCTTTTACCCAGTAGCCCTTTGAACCAGCACCATAGGTGATCTTCATAGAAATATTTGATGTTACTTTTTTCCCAACATCCCCTTGTTTTTGTTAACATATTGGACCACTCCATCATGTCAAAAGATAACCACAATTGAGAATTTCTCAAATTTCTCCTATAAAATATATCTTCATAAATATATCTTTCATTATGTAAAATTAGGAAATGTTGAGTTGCCTGATTCATTTTTAAGGTGCCTGGGTGCTTGTTCCCTCCACTGTTTAAGTTATATTATTAGCATGTGCTCATTAGTTGAGTATATGGAGGGTTTAATTAAACACTATAACATCTGTATCTGTTTCATGTAATCCTCAGATTCACCTCTAGAGAACCAATATTTGTTACAGATGCCATTAATTTTTCTGTCATATTAAGGAGGTTTAATTTAGGTGAGGCAGAGCACATGCAAATTCTGTGTACCTTAATAAAGGATGTAAGATGAAAATGTATCAGGATATGAAAAAAGAGACCCTGAGATACACACTGGTGCTCAGATCTCCACTTGTTAGAGATCATGGCGAAAGATCAAATGGGCTTTTCAAAGTATGAAAAAAGGCACAGAAATGGAATATGAAAACCTGCATCAGTATTTATTAAAAATCCTGTCTTCAACAAGCCGAGAAAGAGATGGCTGGGGGATTGATTAAACATGCTGGAGACTATTTAGAATAATAATCAGTTGTTTTACAGTAAATACCAAATGTACCAAACACTAAACGTAACCACCAGGTGATGATAAATTGAACTTCACATAATGCAAATACAGAGTGAAGCTCTGATGCCCCAGCAGAGCTGAAGATGCACATCGACACAGATGCCCTGTATTCAGGGTTGTGAAACTGCACAGACAATACAAGCACATCAGCTACTTAACATTTTTACAAACAGACCCGTTAACAGGCAGAACGTCCTGTATTAATATTTAAGCTTTGTGCAGTACAGTAAATGAATACATATAATTTAATGGATTTTTCAGATCTCTTGCATGTGTTTTTTGCTACATGTTACATCCATATTTAAGTACTAATAGGCCTTTTAACCATCGATGTATGTTTTGTCTTATCCTTAGCATGTTCATAATCATTTCATATACCGTATGCATGTTTTGGGTAGCATGTAAGGGTTTGATTTCAAGGCTGTAATGTTCAGATTTGGAAGTTACTGGTAATTTAAAATGTTATCAGAGAACATTATGTGAAACAGGAGGGTGTATCAAGCAAACAAGGTTCCTTACAGTTGTCAGTTCTGTTAGAGTTTCCCTGCTGTCTTTTCTTTCTTTTTGTGGAAAATGCTGTCTCCATTTTTTAGACATACAGTATCACAACTCAAATATTCAAGCCCCCAAATAGGATGGACTTACAGTGGTCCAAATCCCAAATAATTCAATCAGTTCCTTTAGTCCCAACACACAAGGACATACTGTACCGTTCACACAAAAAGAGAGTCTTCATGGATTCATGTTTCTGCAGCTTTGGCCTAAACAATTGTTCTTCATATGCCTTCCCTAAATCAGCTTTACTGTCTAATTTGTGTTTGAATGGCCCTGTGTGTATTTCTCTTTCTTCTAAGCACATCTGAAGAAATCCCAGTTCTAATGTCTTTTTGGGTGCCGTTAATGTCATTCTCTTATCAATTGACGTGAAACGAAAATAAACATAGACAATCTGCAGTCAAGGGATTGTTTGAGTGTTTTCTGCGGAGAAAACCTAATCCTCTTAGAAGCTCAGGCATCTTGCTAACAAATTATTTTCACACACAGGTCTAATGTGTGGCATCTTAAAGATTCAGATCAGCTTCCATTTGTCCTGACTGTAAAAGCAATCTGTGAAAAATTCATATCGGCCAGTCCGAGAGGGTGTCCATTTGACCAGCACCAGTTTCCAGGCTGTGATGGCTGGTGCAAAATCCAACTGAGTAGTCCATGTGTGATCTGCAACACACATTTAAAAGGACTCCCTGTGTTATAATCAAGCCTGATCCTGAAATTGAAAGCATAATTTCTATGAACACAAGCATCATAGCTTACATCAGGGAATAATATATTCTGTTTGTTTAGCTGTATGAAACACCAATATTATTTTTAGTTGAAAAGGGAATGTTGGATTATTTATTTGTTGTTTTTCTTGTTCTCTTTACATGACACTCCAGCAATCATTTGGGCTTGCTCTCTGACGTTCACCCTCTGACACCCTCTGAAGATGCTGATAGATCTTCAAAAGAACAGAATTTTTAGGAATAAAATATTTTTTGACAGAAGAGTCTGGATTCCACCAGGCTAGGTTCTGGCACCTTATTTTCACCTGAGTTGAACTGCCTGCTTACTTTCCTCTGTCTTCCACACTGTACATTTACAGTACAGTCATAGTAATGCTCAAAGACTGCTCAGCATCGAAGTCTCTCTTATACTTGAACATGTTGACAAGTGGTCTTGTTACATTAGTAATGCCAAAGTGATGGAATTCAAAATTCGACATTTCTGATTCAGTGCACCTTTACTTCCATGAATTCCCTGGGTGAAACAGCAGTGTTCGTTCTATACTAAAAGTTAAAAATGCTCATTTCCTTTCAAGCAGTGCAAAGTCATCTACCAGATTCAGATTGCATGAACAGGAGAACTGGAATCTCTTCCCCCAGAAACGAGACTTTGGTTGAAAGCAGTGCCCTTTCTGAATCTAAAGATGGGATAAAACACAGATTAAAGAAACTAATCATTTCTAGTCAGTGGCGTAAAGGTATGATTTCTGCCTGCACCCATAAAACTGAAAAGACAATGCTGCAAGGTGACAAGTAACAAAAGCATGATTCCCTAATGCATTAATTATGCAGTTTTTAAAAACTTTATTCTACGGAGTAGTGGTGGGACATACAGTAGAATCTTGTAGTGTTTATTCCAGCTGAATTCATTATTACAGAAAAGAGACAATTATTTTGTGAAGTGAACCAGCTAAGCATTGTTTTAAGGGTTTCTTCAGATGGATTTGTTTTTTAAAAAAGTTGGAACGGCCAATTATTTTCCACCTGTCTGGTTTGCTATCACCCATTGTATAAGGCTTAGCTTTACAGCTGAACCTCCTAGTCCTCATGGGGAGAATGAGATCCCATGGACGTGCTGCTCTGACACACCCACATTTCATTTGACCCCCTGCAAGTGCCTTAAGGAGAAGTCGCTAGCACCTGGAGGAACAGCACATCTCTTACTAACTGCTCAGCAAGCTGGCAGGTGCCAGGTACAGTAGGTTCCAGCAGTTTTCTGTCTCACCACAAGCCAGGAGGAAGTCTGGCTGACTAAATCTCGTCCAGTCCTGGAGCAACCTAGCTGATCAAGCCACACTTAGCAGAGTGGGCTGCTCTGATCTGGCAATCATTTCAAGACAAGGGTATTCTGACCACATCAAGTCTTTGCAAACCTGATGTGAACTTGATTGCAAACTAGGCCGGTGGGATTTGAATCTCTTGATTTTCAACAGCAAATCAGGGATGTGGGACAAACCAGATATCTGCATGTTTGCTGTGATGTTAGTGAGTGGTATACCACTCCTTCAGTCACTGGTTGGTCTTCTATAAGGCACTGTAAAGCTTGCAGTGATGCAAGATGGGCAAAATGAAAGGCAAGGCTTAGGCTTGGACCTGTGATATCTGGACTGCTGGGCCTAGCCTACACTCTGAAAGATTACCTTCACTGGTTGAGCCATTTGGGAACCCAAATGAAAATGTAAAATCCAACCAAGAAGACATTTGTCCTGTTGCAGTAGTGCTCTATCAGAGACTTAGCTGCTGGCCAAGTTGTGTTATTCCAGTGGTACTGAATGACCACTAATACTATGTTTGAGCCTATGTCAGAACTTGGCTCTCATTGATCACCAGTCCTCTTCCTTTACTTTCTGGGATAGAGGAGACGCCGAAATTCCAAATATAAACAGTAAGAAAAGAGAGGTGTTTTGGAAATCTAAAAATTAACAACTTAATCTTAAATAAATGTGTTGCTTTTTAGTTTGCTTTAATTCTGTGCAGTAGCTGAACTATCTTTGTGCTTTTTTAGAAATGTATATCTCGAATGTTCCTGTACTGCATTATATTTCAAGCCTGCATCTTTTGAAAGTCAGCGTGACACACTGTTTGCATTTTGTTTTCCAACTGTTTCAATGCTCACTCTCCTCCAGATCATTCCATTAATCAAACATCTATCAAAGTGCAATTTGAAAAGCCTCAGGCTGTGTGGGATGAATTGCTTTATGTGCCCAGTACAAAAGGCAGCATTAAACAAAGGTATCTAAAGGCATGGTGTGCAAAAACAGTAGCCTGGCCTTGCACTCCTGTACAGAACAATAAAGCAGTTGGATTGTTAATGTCCCACGTTTCTGCATTTATTCTCTCAGAGGCTCAACGTGTTTCCTGGAAACTCGACAGTCCTCTACCACATCTATTGATCAAGGATTTCAAAACAATATACAAGCTTTGAAGGCGGAATGGACATTTTTTTTTGCTGCAAAGTAAAACTTCTAGAACTATTTTGCACTTGTTCTCAAGGATTTCAAGATCTTCAGAACCAGTAACAGATAAAACAGAAGAACTGGAACACAAGAAGCTAGGTCCAGTTACCCCAGCATATCATTTCCAACACTCTGCATGTTGTCTGATGCACTAGGTAGAGTTGATCAACATGTTTTACATTCTACTTGCTGTTTGGGTTCTTAACAGGGGAAGCATGGTGGTTAACAGCAGTAGGACAATGAATTGAGGGGGAATTGAGTCAATGCAGTAAGAGTCTTTTATTTGAATATTTGAATAAATATAATGTGTAATATTGTAATAGATATTATGGCTAAACACAGAGGCATCAAGAACTCTGTGACTCTTGGGTGGCTCCTTTATTTGTATTTTTTTTTTGTTATATCACTATGAAAAAGCTATTTGATTTGTTTCATTTACCAATTTCTATTTTGCCTCTTCTCTCTTTTTCTTGTAGAGTTTGATACTATTGGTGAAACATTATGCAGCATGGGATCAACTCTCTATAAAAATGAAAAAGTAAAATCAGCCTTTTCTCTCTTGTACCTGTCCCTTTGAGATACGTGCTATACAATACAGTGTGGTTTTGCAGTTTATCTATTTTTTCAAGACAGTATCAGAGTTAAGTTAAGCAGAGAACTACAGACAGTATGGTGCTGTTTAGGTTGTCTAAGAGTCCTCCTATAATATAAAATGTGGGTTATAAGTATGCTGCTTTTTAGAAATATCCCCTGTTGACATTTTTGAGATGACTTATTAGTTTTGGTACCAAATGTAAAGGAACAGAAATATTGTACTACATTTGAAAATGTTTAAAGTGTCTTAATTTTCCAATGGTTTTGAAAGAAACAGGTCACTAGCAAGAGGTGATTATAAAGCCTGTAGGACCTAGTAGCCAGCCCTATAGATCTGAGGTACTAGGATTACCTGCTGTTATAGCATGCAGCCCATTTCTTTATTGAAAATGAAATGCCTAAGTACAGTATAATAGTATGAACAAAATGCTTGGAGATACATGGCTTCGCAGATGCACTGTAAGCCTGGAATGCATCCAGTACATCAAGAAGATGTTCACACATGTCTTCCAAATCCTGTTGCTGGCAGCAGAAGCACTGAAATGGAAACTTTCATCCTTCTAGGACAACTCTGTAAAGTCCATGGCAGAAAAAAACAGGCACCAAGATTGTCTAAAAGACAAGCTATCTGTAAGACATCACATGCCTGCTCACATCCACCTGAAAGCAGCAGTTTTGCACTGCAGAATGATAAATTCATCTGTTGAAGGGCTTGGTTGGTGTGTCTTGTCGTGCTTTTCAGCTGTGCCTCCCCTGTTTGAAGGTAAACCACTGGATTAGCAGGCCTGCGGGGTTTGGCTTCACCATTTGAAAGATGTTCTGAAGATATTATACGACGAAGGTGTGAAACGGGGGGCCTTCAAGAAACTGATGCTTAGATGAGCCTCTGGAATGAACTCCTGCCAAAGGGTTCTGGCTCTGAGTCACCGTTGATCGTCAGGCAAAGCAGATAAAACCAGAGCCATGTGCAGGGCTCACTGAGGGAAGGTATTTACATAAGCAGGCAGCTGAGATGAAACAGCTACCGAGTAAAATTGCACAGGAGTACGGAATGTGTGAGTCAAGCAATTGTTTTTTTTTACATGCGCCCTCTTACCCTTATTTTAATTTGCATTTCTAATGAGCAAATTGTTAGCCCTGTTATGCATTTTTCACAAATTAAATCACACTGTAAGTTCCACTTAAAATCAGGGATTGTTATTGTGTGGCTATCTGAACTAAAAACATCTAGAAGACTATTTTTCTGTAGCTTTTTCTCAGCTCAGACACTCAGTTCTAAGTGCTGTGACCAGCTTTGATAATTCCACGAGGGCAGTAAAGCTCTACTCCAGGATCACACGTAACTTTCAGGAAACTTGGGCCAATTTGAAAATATTGACAGCACTTTTGATAATGCAGAACTCCTCCGACCTTGCAAAGACAGGCTGGTTAAGGTAATTGGTTTGTCTGAATTGTCCATATCCATGTGCGCATCCAGTATATATGTGACCTTTGATGGACCACATTCTGCCTAGTGTTTCCAGGAGGGGCTCTATGTTGCCAAGACCTTCACTGCAAATAAGCAGCTTTCTTATAATGGATGGATCATGAGCTATTCACTGCTCCCGTACATTGACACTAACACTGACTATGACAGTGCAGCTGTCAGTATCCTTATGGAAGGCCTCTAATAAACATTTGTATTGAACAGGATATCCATCCTTTTCCTAACCGTTTCTTCCATTTCAGGGTCATTGTGACCATTGAGCCAGAACCTATCCCAGAAATCAGTGGGCACAAGGTAGAATACACCCTGGACAGGCCACCACAGGGCATACAGACACAAACAGACACACCAGGGCGCAAATTCTAGCCGATTCTAACCACTGAGCTACTGAGCCCTTAAAAAGTATGTTCCTTATCAAGAACAGAACAGAGCCTCTTCAAACATTTTTCTAAGAAGGTGTTGAATAGTTAACAGCTACTGTGTATGCTTTTATTGGTCCAGAAATTGATTTAAAAAGTAGCCTGTTTTTTTGCAAGAAAAGCAAATGTAACTTTGGAATTCGAGGGCACTGAGGCATAAAGATAAGAATTAAGTTTCAGTGGGTGATCAGCAGCATGATGTTCAGCTGCAGGTTGGGGATTAGAATGCCTTCACTTAGCTTTCAGAAAGGTAGCATTCAGATTCATGGAACTTTTCTAACTTGCTGAGATTCATCATGCATTACAGGCCGGATTTAGCTGTCTTGCTTCTGAGTACCGTGTGAAATTGAACAAGAAACAGTAGCTTTTACAGTTTCAGCCTGCGGACCTGCACGTTCCAAAGTTGCACATGTTATTGTAGTGGTCTGAGTATGAAAAAAATACATAAAAGACAGCTATGAATATGTATTGATTTCATAGAAAACCTCAAAGGAGACAAAAGTCATTACTTTTCAGTAGGTGACCTTTCTCCTGTTGGTGCTCAATATGCTCAGTGTGAAATGTTCCACTTTCGAGTGAATGAGATATTCTCTTTGCAGTTGGGCGGGGTAATTCAACGGTCTCTAGGGCCTTTAGATTCAGTGAAAAACCTCAAAAGACTTACATTCAATGTTTCCCTTAGAAGACATAATACGAAATGAGAAACCTCTCACCTTCCTCAGGCACTCCAACTGAATTACAAGGAAATGTAGCATATAGATTTTTAGCAGCGCTGTTTTATTAGAAATGCATGAAACCTGTTTGTGTGTCTATTGTAAAGGCTAAAAATATATGCAGTATATTAATCCCAGCTAGTACCTCACCTATTTGAGGACAGTATTAACCAAACGGCTATGGAGTATAAATGGTGTAATTGTAAGCAGCTACACTAGACAAACTTGAGTGACACAGCCGTGTGGTCAGATGGCAGACATTCCTGCCAGTAAGTAAAAAGCTCCTAAGGGTTTTCAGGAGATGTTTGCGGGCTTTGTTGTGTCCTGAGTGAAAATACCCGAAACAATCAATAGAAGTTATAAAAGTGTTCTTAAATTAACAGCTACATTTCTGGTATGGATTAGCAGTCCCGAAAACCATTTGCAGATATTTTGTGTGTGTGACAGTGGTGAAAGAGCCCTAACAAGTTCTTCAGTTCAGCCAAACTGAACAAGGAACTTCTGAGCATTTTAAACGGAGCATAAGTATCTTGGGTATCTATTAGAATTTAGGTGAAGTATTTGGAATTATATGCAAAGAACTCAAAAGAAACCTTTTAATCAGTTTATGCTGGTGTATTTTTAGAAAAATAAATGACAATTTTAAGATATTGAATAGTTATTTTTGCATCACTCATGACTGAATGTTATTGTCCGACAGTACCTGTGCGTTGATCAAGTGCTGAGACCTCACTTGCTGCCCTTCCCTTGGGCTCATCCTGATGTGACAACACATGCCCTCATGCTGCTCCTGTAACAGTGACTGTGTTCCGTTCACATCTTTCACAACTTACACAGTGAACGACTCACTAGCCTCCAGCCCCATTGATCATATGCGGAATGAGCTAGGATGTTGTGTGGCATCAAGGTCTCAGGGATCAGTGAACAGGTATGAAGTATCCATTTGTAAAAATTCACTGAAATCTGAATTATTTTGCAGTGTTTTTATATCAATTTGATTATGCATAGGTCGAGTGTTACAGTACCTGGAGAGTGCCTGCATTAAGGGTTATGCACTGTACTGTACAGCACCTACTGTTTCACTGCTATTTTGGTATAGCAGCAGAATATGTGTGAACTTGGCTTGGCCTAGCACAGTCGTATTGTGTGGTGACCCTTGTGCGCTTGAGTTTTGTGATCAGTCTTTTGAGGCTAATGCCTTAGTAAACATTGATTTAGCTGTCCATACCACTGTACACATCAATCAATAGGTGCAAGTCAGTCCTGGTAAAGATGCCATGGGTCTTCACTTACTGTAAGAAGATCATTAAGAGGCTATTTATTGGGTGAAAAGATGCATGATTTACAGTATGCAAGTGCTGAGATCAGCAAGGCACTCTTTGATGTTCAGACCTAAGTCACTCATAGATTGCAGAAGTGGAATAATCAAGCCAGGCTTTCTTAACAACAAAGAGAACTTGAACAACTAAAATCTGTGGACGCACCCACAGTCCTTGGTGTGTTAGCTGAGCAGATGTAGTGTACAGTAACAGGAGTGGTTGAGTTGTTGGGATGAATACTTAAGTCCTCAGTCTATACTATGGTCTTTTAATAGTTACATTCTAGATCAGTTTAATATCACTATTTTGTGTGCGCTGTGCTGTTATTTAGAATTAAACCCTAGCTCTCCTTTACACAATTAGCAAAAGCTTGCATTGGAAAGCTGTGACACAGGCTGTTGTACACTTTGTCTCTGACTTGAAATCTCCCGATTTCCCATTTTGACATGTTGTTGCTACTGTAAATGGTTACACACAGTGGTCCACGTGTTACAGTTTTGGCCTTGAAATACTACGGTAACAAGACTTCCTTATCATTCCTCACTCAGATGTTTTGTGGAAAGATCTGAAAAAAGGCAAACAATTAAAATAACAAGCAAATCGGGTTTATGTTGACTGTTTCCAGAAGGCTTTATAAATGTTTACGTATCTAAAATGTCATTCGTGCTCACTTTTACATTTCTGAACCCCACGCAAGACATTTGAAATACAGAAAATATTCTGTTTTCCACCCAACCCTAATTCATCACAAAGCAGTTGTCATTAAACCTCTTAATCCCTTCACTCTGCCTTTACTGTATACAGCATTAACAAGGCATGGTTCCAGATTTTCACTGCAAACTTATTTTTGCTGTTTCACATTTTTCTGTTGCATATTTTCAACCCACATAATAGCGCCCAGAAAAAAAAACTGGTTTACCGTCTTCCTACCTTTTCTTAAGTTGACGTCATTCAGGGGTGACTTTGAAAAAGTTCTCTTTACACAAGGGAAAGTGCATTTTGAAGTGGTGCGGAGCACAGAGGAAATTACAGCACAGGACAAGAGTGGTGGATAGTG